ATGGGAAGCGACGAGTGGGTCGTCCTAGGGTGATATGGAGGAGATCGTGTGAGGGAAAGATGAGAGAGTTTGGTCAATCGTGGACCCAGCTGAATAGGACAGAAGAGAAAAGAAGAGAGTGGAAATGTGTTGTTGAAGCCTTATGCTCCACTTGGAACCCAAGGTAACATTATTAATTATAAGAAACGTAATACATTGGTGGACTCTGTGTTAAATTGGTCGTCGTATTAGATGTGTTATGTGAACAAATTATTGATACATGATCTTATGGATTCATTTTCAGAGCATATTTTGCTTTCTAATGATTGACATCTTGACCGAGAAAACCTTTTCTGCAACTAAATATGTATAGGTTATAACTTTAGGTATAGTTTTACTGGTAAAATGTAAACTGCTGAGTTTATGACTTTAAAAAAATTTAAGTTATATCATTTGACACAAGATTTCATATTAATTCTCTTTTATGTTTTTTCGACTACTGGGTATAACTGCCATGGTTACCGTGAATATTAAGCGTGATTCAAAAGAGCGAATCTGCTTTTTCATATTTCTTTGTCTTCAATTCATATATATCTTTGATTAAGTTAACTCCTGGTTACACCAGAAAACTTCAAATTTTGTGTTTATTTGCATTTTACACCTTCATTGTCATTGTCACAATCAGTGGTAATTCGAATTCTGAAAATCTGAATTTCTTCCTATGAAAGTATGTATTGCATTTTCAAATCTCCTCGGAAAAATAGTCATTTTTCTTTCCCACCCATACAAACATACACAATCTTCTCACAAATCTGTCATGACTAACCAAGGTAGATTATATACAGCTACTTAATGCTTGTGGCGGCCTGTTTGACATCTGGGCTACCTTTCTGTACATCTACATATTTGCATCTAATACACCATGTTTTCATTTTTAATTTTAACAAAATATGATCACAAATCGTATCAAATACAGTAATGAATTCATTAAATGTTTTAAACCATATGACTTTCATACATCTAATAAAACTAAGAGAAAACATCATGGTGGTTGGCAACGTGCTCTCAAACGGACACCATTATATCGCACAAATATTTTTGTTATTGTCAATTCAAACTGCCGTTCACTTCCCAACAAAATTATGCATCTCCAGTCTCTCTTATCATCTGAGACTTATCACAATACGGTGATAGTCGCATTACAAGAAACATGGCTCCATGATCTTTATGACGACAACCTGGTTTCCCTAAATGGTTTCACATTGTTTAGACAAGATCGAATATGCTCTAGAAAGAAAAGAGGTGGTGGCGTCGCATCTTCATTCATTCTCAGTGGTCAACTTCAAATAATGTATGTTTTTCTTTCTCTAGTGACTTTATTGATTGTATTACAGTCAAATGTCGTACGAAACACTTATCCAAGTTTAAATACGTCTTCATCTCAAACATTTATGTTACTCCTGGCTGTTCTGCCTCGGATCTATCTTATTTTGCCGATGAATTCACAGCATTCGCGGTTACACATCTTGAAAAATCTTTATCAGTTTTCACTGGGGATTTCAATACCTGTGACTGTTCTTTGCTTGAATCATTAGGTCATGTCAACATTGTCAAATTTCCAACTCGACTTGATAAAACGCTGGATCTAGTATTTACTAATGATGCGAAAATATATGAAGCACGCAGACGTGCTCCTATGATGAACTCTGATCATTGTATTATTCGGATATTACCCAAGATATATAGCAGATATCACTCTAATATCCTATCGAATCTCTCCAGGAAAACACAACAAAGATGTTACTCACAAGAAAACGTGCTCAAACTAAGATGTATGTTAAATGACACAAACTGGGAACTTTTCACTGAACACACACTGGATGATACTATTTCCAATCTGACTGACCATCTTAAATTCTACCTTGATGTATGCTGTCCAAAACAGATACTTTTCAAAAGAATAGACCGTTTCTCTTCCCCTCATCTCAAAAAGCTTCGAAGAGAAAAAGAGAGACTGTACAAGGCTAAGGATAAAGCTGGTCTTAGGAGAATAAACGTCCAAATTAAATCCGAAATCAAGAGGTTAAACAATATTTATAATCAAAGGATTTTGTCATGTAAAACTCCTGGGAACATGTGGAAACTTTTCAAAGAAATTACAGGTTGTGATAAGCATAGTTCTTGTGCTCCCTCTATTGATGTAAATACTCTTAATAGATCTTTTATCCCCCTTCCCAATGTACCTTTTAGCTTCAATGTAACAAATAACATGACCAGTGACTTTAATAGTTTTAAAACTTCTGATGTTCTTAAATGTTTAAAATCTCTTAAACCTTCCCAGAGTCTAGGTCCTGATGGTATACCTGCCATTGTCCTAAGGAAATGTGCTGATATTTTAAGCAACCCACTTACAAACATTTTTAATACTTCTTTTTCTAATAATGTTGTACCTTCTCTGTGGAAAGATATTAAAATCATCCCTGTACCCAAGTCAGGCTCTGGTAATAATGCTAAGTTTAGACCTATCGCTATTACCTCTCCTTTTTTGAAACTAATGGAGAAATTATTGTTACTAAAACTTGTTCCCTCCCTAAGTTTCTCAAACGATCCAAAGCAGTTTGCTTACAAACAGGGTAGAAGTACTTTGGACGCTGCTGCTGTGTTTCATCACAACATTGTATCCTCCTTAGACAAAGGGGCCAAGTATGTCCGTTGTACGTTCCTTGATTATACATCTGCTTTCGACTCTGTACCTAGAGGCCTATTGTTAAACAAGCTTAGCCTTACACAAACTGAGCCCTGGGCTATCAACTGGCTACACTCTTACTTCTCTAATAGGATGCAGTACACGGTATATAATGGTGTATCTTCCTCTCCTTTGCTTACTGAAGCTGGAGTTCCTCAGGGTGCTGTTCTTTCTCCGTTTCTCTTTTCCTTCTTCTTACATGATTTACCTCTCTCAGATGAAATCAACTTCGTCAAATATGCAGATGACCTGTCTGTATCGTTTCCCATTAAGTCTCAGTCAAACTGTCTCAAATTAAATAGCTTCCTGTCGGACATCAGTGAGTGGTCCAAACTAAATGGTCTCATGCTGAATCCCTCAAAGTGCCAGACTATTGACTTCTCCCTTAGGCATAAACGAGATCTACAAACACTAGTAAGTTCTCATGAAGACTGTTGCATTGAGGGGACTAAAATTGAAACTAAGTCTAATGCAAAATACCTCGGTCTAGTTCTATCTTCCGACCTTACTTGGACATCTCATATCCTAACGATTTCTAAGAAAGTGTTCTGTCTTACCTACTACATTAAGAAACTTAGACAATCTGGAATCACCCAACCTCTACTTTCACAATTTGTCAACTCTTGTATCTTACCTATTCTACTTTACTGCTCCCCGTTAGTCTTTCCTGGTCTACTGAAAAAGGACTATACCATCCTGAGAAGGATGTTGAAGGTAGTCAGTAGGACTAGTGGTGTAAAACTCAGTCAGCTCGTTCATAGGCATCTGAATACATGCGAAAAATGGTCAAAAACCATACTCTCAGACCCCCAACACCCCCTCTATTCCCAACTCTCTCCTTGTATCTCATCAAGTAAAACCAGAAATCAGTATAAAATAATCTATGCTCGTACAACCAAGTACAGGAACTCAACGATACCATACTTGGCCCGTGTTCTAAGCGACAGAGACAATGTTAAGCGTGAAACCTATGACTTGCTTTGTTATTAACAACATAATTTTAGGCTCTTTTATTTCTCTCTTATTTTGTATTCTATAGTGAACTCCTTCTCAAACATACTTAGCTACCTAAAATATTAACATTGGCTTCCTTTTTTGTACTTTACTATATTCCTTCTATTGTGTATCCACTGGTTCCGACTCTATTAGCACTATGAGTATTACAAAATTGTCCTGTCATTAACCATCATGTAATTATTAGTTTTGTGGTTGTTTTTTCTTATTTTCTATACTTTTCGGCAATATTAAACTGACAATCATTGGTTGTGAACGCCATAGTCACCACCTTAAAAAATTTTGTATTATTCAGGATTACTCACACTACCACTACAAACACTGCATTAGACCTGACAATAAAAAACAAAACAACAACCCTGAAATGTTATTTTATGATTGTTTAGAGTTGTTTCAATCAAATTAACTGACCATCTTGGCGATAAACATTCTTAAATATCATTTCATAACTTCTTGTATGACTATAGCTTTACTGTCACCATGCATAATCATATCATAGCTTCCACTACCCAATACTGAGTTATTATTATATGATGTTTATTTTCCTTTCTACTTCTTGGTACTTTTTCGCATTTATAATTATTTTGTGTTTATCCTGTTTTTTTTGCTGTTGGTGTCTTTAGATTTATTTTTTTTTGTTTTTGTTTGTTTAATACTCCTTTTAAATGTTTGTAAAATTAGATGCAAATATTGTAGATATGTGCTGAAAATTCCACACTGTACCACTAGTACTGTTTCTGGAATAAAGCAAATTATTATTATTATTTACTCGAACTTTAATTCTATCACCTTTAGTAGTATCACATGTCTACATTGAATTATTTTTCATATTTAATTGTGAAAACTGATGAAAACTGATACAAAATCTAAACTTGCTTAGACTGTATTCTCAGATTATAATTTTCCTATTGACTAAAAAATTGTCGGTTGAATAGCATAATGAGATATTAATAAAAGTTAGGTGTACACAATTTTGATTGCAGTGCTTAACACTGTCGTTTAATTCGATCATTTAATGATTTGTAAACAAAAAGACGACAGATTACACATAAAAAAGGTATTAAGAATGAGACTGAACCAATTTTTGTGTTTGTCGTAGCTTGATTACTGGAGACAATAAATGATCTAATTCTCCAATAGATTTTATAGCCAAATGCATACTTCGAGTGAAAAAATATATATGAATGAGTGGCGAAAGATGAAAACATAATATTGGTGTTAACATAGCATCGATTAAAATGAAAAGTCTTATTCATCTTACCCTATAGGAAACATCAGCAATCTATTATTGCTTATAATATTTAATTCTGCTACTCCTGGAATCAGTTGGAAGTGATAAATTTCAGATCGGTATAATTTGTATGTCAGAACGAAAGAGAAACCACAAGTCTTACTCTTGTGCAAACCTTTAAATGTAAATAAAAAAACTTTTCCTAGTTTCATAGGAAATATAATAGGAAGTTAAATAAAATGTTATCAGAAAAACTTTTATTGAGGTTGCAAGAACAGGCTTAATACTTACCACATCAATGTGACATGTATCAGCAAATTCAATGTTTTACTTCTGGTCGTATAAACGAAATGAAGGATAAAGAAATGTGTGTTGTAAACAGTTTGACTGGAGCACATAAATTTAGATTTGCGAATGCAAGAACAACCAGATATTAACAGCTGGCAGTAGGCTTTCAAAGAATAAATTATTTCAGTGTAAACCTTTCTGTTATGCAATATTCTCACCAGTTACTTGTAAAACCCGCTTTGAAGACATACACAAAAATGCGGTTTAATTTCTCATTAAATTAACTATCCAGCTCACAGAACACAACCACATCAATTTCTCATTAAAGTTGCTGAAGCTTACTATCGTTGTACTGTAGTTAGCGTATTTGCATTATGAAAAGTTGCTAAATATATAGATTTTCAGTATTGGTTTTGTAGGGATTTTTGTTTGATTGCATGGAGGATTTTATCATGAGCTGACATCAGTTGGAGAACCACTGGAAAACCTGGGAGTACTGGACAGCTGTTTCGTCCTAGTTTGGGACTCTTAAGCTGGACGCATCCACTGGGGTTCGAACTCAGGATCTTCTGGTTACAAGGCGAGCTCATGATGAAATCCTCCATGCAATCAAACAACAATGGTCTACGAGCTCGCCTTGTAACCAGAACGTCCTGGGTTTGAACCCCGGTGAGTGCGTCCCAAACTAGGACGAAACAGCTGTCCAGTACTACCAGGTTTCCCAGTGGTTCTCTAACTGATGTCAGCTCATGATGTAATCCTCCATGCAATCAAATATATAAATATCAATTTAGACTTACAATTGCAAAATTTAACTGTTCTATGGTATTCTACTCATTTTAGATGTTACTAAACTCCTTAACTTTCTTTATATGGTGTAGCTGTATTAAATGTAAGCTTTTCCATGCAATTTTCGATTACAGATACATTAAATGTTTGATTATCATATAAAATCAGTCATATTTTGACATGACTCATCGTTTGTTCTTACTTCACTGACTAGGCATCGTGATGCAGATAACAAATACATACTCACATAAGTGAGTACTATCGACTTTTTCCTGTTCTGTATAGTAGGACAATTTAAGGGTGAATGGTAATTGACACCTACTAGGGATGAATTTATCTTACCTAATGTCTCCTTGAAATATATCAAAATCTACAAGCAGAAACCATTATGATAAGATTACCAAACACTTGGTAGGTTTCCTTTCATTCCTTTTCGTTCCAATTAGAAAATAGGGATTCACACTTGAGCTCTGGGGTTTCACCAGCTGTGGTGTTATTGTCCAACCTTCTTCCTTTACCGAACTTACTATTGGTTACTTACTTAAGAGTACATCGGCCAGGGATTGAACCCGAAACTTTCTCGTGGTCGGTGAAACACCAACGCATGATTTGATAAATTAACTACACATAAGTAGATCCTCGCGAAACTGATAAGACGGATAAAGAAGTCACTCTGGTATATAATCAAATCTCTTAGGGTGTAAATTGTTGTGGTTTGTTAACCAGACCCATAGAAGATTCAAGTTACACACAAAAACACTCATCTGTTTATTGTACAACTAAGTTACTTTAGATGCATTTGTTGCTGCTCCGTGTGAAAACATTTTAAAAAAATTTCGAGTCTGTATGAACTTAAGCAATTTATATCGTCGTTTGACAATTCATTTTGTAATCACAAGCATGAGTTAACCGAAATTCATTTAGACAACTTTATATTACAAGAATTCTAGAAGATTCTACCTTTTCTTTTCTGATATACTCTTACGTTCATTATTCATTCATTGTTATATCACTTGTTTTTAATGTCACTGATTTCTACTCATTAAAATTAGACATGTACACTTACGTATAATACGGTTTTCAGATGATGAATGAATTTCTTCTATTCATAATAACAGTATTCCATAGCATTTATAATATTCTTTTGAGGTGTCCTTATTTGTAATTCATATCAGTTAAATAATACTGCAATATCTAGCAGTAATACTGGGATTGCTGAGTTATACAGCCTAATTACTTTAATGAAACTGAAATTTAGCATTATCTTATAAGATACAAATATTCCTGCTCGGACTATTTACCTAAAAGGTACACCTCATTTTGATTTTCTGTTTTAGCATTCTCAGAGAAAGACGCCTGTTTTCTAAGTACACTACAATATCCCCTTGAATTCGCTGCATGTATGCTTTGAAATGTAACAACACAGTTTAGTCTCACCTTTTCAATTCAGACTTATACATTATCGATGGCTCACTCAGTCATAAGAATTACAGGGTAATGAAATGCGGAGGTAATCTTCAAGTCACTCAAAGTTCAAAGTATGGAAAAAGCATTTGTCTTCAAGATGTCTGTCTAAATAAAAATAATTATTCTCCCATAAAATTTCGACAAACCACTTATATTTTGAAAATACGAATCAAAAGTAAATCTGAGTTTATGAATATTTACTAAGCAGCATGCTTTTTAGTGTCATCCAAGAGTTCAGTAACCAACAGACTGACTTAGAAGAATATCTTCATAAATATTTTTTCGCTTCTTTATTCCTTATACATTCACATAAAGTACGTCAACTGACTTTTTCATTTAAGATATTACTTAGTTTCAGTACTGTGACCGTATGCATTATGACCTGAGAATGTTATTCAGCAGTTGAAATGATACTTAATTTTGAATAAATATCACCGTTAGCTTCAGTGACAATCTATAGACGTGGAAGAGTAATAAAGACATCTTTTAACTAGGAACTTCCTGTGACTTCAGTAACTATTGAAAGACCATATCCGTGCGTTCAAAGTTTTAAATGACTTTAATCTAATTTGCTTCAATTCCTTTTTGTTTATTTAATTGTTATGTCATCACAAATTTACATTTTTGCAGTCATAAAGTGATTTGCATGCAATAAATCAAATGAAATATTCTTGTATGAAAAAAAGAATAATGCTTTGGAACAACTTGAAGCAAAACTTTCTTTTTACTTCTTTTGTAAATTTTATTGAAATTAGATAAATAAATAAACTATAAAGTGTTTTTAAAAAAAACATACCACTATGTACAAATGCCACGCGTCCTTTATGAAGATCCAATTGTGAAAATGTGCTAACACTAACATGTAGACTGTTCAATAACGATATATGACCTTGATGTGTATATAAAATTTCATACATAATATGATCTGGAATCAATAAAACATTGAAGACAAAATGATTGGCAGAAATTTTGAATATTGCATCATACGAATTAACAGATACGTCTAGGCACAACTTATTCCTTTTTATTTGTTGGTCGTAAATAATTATTAACCACTGCAGAGATTTGCGTTTATACAGTTTTACTGTTTCAAACTCCAAAAAAAATACTGTGTGCATCGTCATAGTGGGTACTACATTCAAATACAAACAAAAGCCAATTATTATAGATATCCAGAAAATGTGAATTTTCTGCTAACTGAATGATCATAAATTTACTTTAAACAAACCTAGGGTGTTTAGATTTCCAAAAGGAGATTTTTCTGAACATTTTATACAAGCTAATTTTTACAGAAGAATCACCGGGGTTTCATCAAACAACCAAAGATAATGTCAACTTATGCATGGAACAAAGTTAACTTGCATTAAGGAGACCTGTAGGTTAAGTTTATTTCATGTACTATTTGAGTGTAATCGTCGATGGCACAGAGGTAGAATGCTCGCCAAAAACGCATATGGTCCAGGGTTCGATTCCCGGCCGACGCACCCCTTGACCACGCTAAACCGGTAAAAAGATTGGTAAAGAGGATAGGTTAAGCGTGAGTCTGGCAAACCCTTCCCGTAAAAATCAACACCACTGCAATTGAGACTTCAGGAATCCAGCTTGAAGCCACCCTATGTTCCACGTAAAGGAAACAAAAGGAAATTTGAGTCTTGATGATTAATGACATCCAAGCAATCCGGCTGAAGAAGCTGTGGCTTCCAAATCAAACCGTTCGCAGTAATGTAGTTTTGATTTTGTGAACACTATAATAATTTTGGACAATTTTAAGAAAGTCAGTTATTTTTTAGTGTGGAAGGTGAAGTAATCAACCTGTATTTCATGAAAAATAAACACAAAAAGTTTGTATTCACCCATATTTGTCTCAAATGGTGTATCCTCTGTGCTCCATCTACGTCATTCTCGTGTTTTCCGCATATACTTTCCATCATTGTATGTCTTATGCTGTTGCCGTATTTTCTGCATAAATTAGGATTACCATGAGATGTATTGTTTATTGTAGGCTACTAGTCAGTTAAATGGAGTAGGAGAAATTTGTTCTGACAGTACAGTTGAACATAAAATAAAAACTCTGAAGGATATTTTATCTAAAAATGGATATTCTTTGAAGGTTATCAATAAATACTGTAAATACATGAGCCCCAGTAAAACGTTCCGAACAGTTCCCAAGAAATCCGTATATATCAATTCGCCGTTCAAAGGAGATGATGTGTTCTTGACGAAAGACTGACAAAGCTATCACGAGGACTTATTATGCTACAAAACTGGTGTTTCTTAACATCACTAATCAGGTGTTTCAACAACCTGGAAAAAACCAGTCTCCAACTCTCGACACTTCAAAATGCGTATATCAGTTAGAATGCGTTTGTGGAAGCAAATACATAAGTCGTACAGAAAAGCGACTGTCTACTCGCATGATGGAGTATTTGCCTTGGTGGTTGGAAACAGTTGAAGTGAAAGTGCCTGAAATTTCGATAACAAAACATCTTGCGGACTACTGACATGATATTGACGCTGTCAAGTCATTCACTGCTGTCAGCAGACAAACAATTAGGGAGATATTAGCATTTGAAGAGGCTTGTGCAATTAGAGTTTATAAACCAGGTCTCTGTGTACAAAAGGAAACCGTTGTCGCACTGAATCTACCACGGTAATATGTTTTATTTACTAAATGTTATTATTATTATTATTAATATTTTATTCCATATCTTATTGTTACTATTTCTGATTCACTCAAAACTATCTTTTATCATTATCATTATCTTAACTCGTTTTAACATCATTATTATTGTAGCTGTTACTATTATTATCATTACTACTACTATTTAGTTTGAAATTCTCCATATCTTATCAGTCTCTTGTGTCCAAATGTAATTCTAATGATATATATGTCTGTGTATGTAGAGTATCCAGCTGAAGAGTTCTACCGAAATTTGACGAATTCATTAAATCCTGCTTTATTAACTTCTGTCGCTTGTTTTAAGTAACAATTCGATGACAACTATATCATAAGTGTAGAAATATATAATATTCACAGTAATCAGTTGTAATATTGACGAAAAAGCTGTTGTGGAGATTGAGTAATCTAAAAGATGAAGAAGAACAGTAATTACTTGACAGCAGAAACTTTGGGAAATAATCACTTTTCCTAGCAGTCCCAAATATTAGCTAGAAGTTATTCATAACTGACAATTTACTTAATTGTACCTACCTCTTACTTGCAATTGACATACTCAGAACTGCACTTAGCTTGTCAACCACGGATACTTCACAAACGATGCAACTGCTATGGTGCATGGAAGTATTAGTGCACTAAACCACTTTATTTCCAACCTCTCAGCCAAGTGTTACTACGAAAACATTTGTGATAACAATGTACCCGAATCTTTTCCAAATTAATTTTAAAAACATAAAGCATTTAACTCTATTTTCAGGCAATTGTTTTATCTATATTTGGAAATATTATGTAAGTGAAAAGTCTGATAATTTATCATCTTTTGATTTTAGACATTTCGTTTCAACAAAACATACGAAAAACACCTAAATTATTTGAAAAAAGTTAAAATAATGCACAACATAGGCAAAATATTGACTGGAAATTAAATCACATTATTGTTATTATTACTATTATTACTGAGAACTATTTACAGGATTCTGAGCCTATAATGTTTGATGATGGAGGCAGCGCCTACAATCACGGAAACGTAAACAAGGCGACATCAGTTTCATCAGATGAACACACCAACAATCAGATAGAGCTCCTTGATTTCAAGATGCTGCCTACTGGATAAAGGATTGAGAAGAGGAGCGAATGTAGTCTCAGACCAATAACTACTGCAACGAAACCTCCCAAACAACTGAAGATAGACAATTCAAGTTGGACACCAGGAACCTGAAGGACAAGGACATAATGGACACTACACTACAGTACCAGGGAAATGTTGGAAACAGTAAGTAACATCAGCGACGAAACTTGAGTGGGACAACGCTGGAACAATCTAAAAACGACATGTACGGAAACCTGCATGAACATCCTAAGCAAACGGAATGACAAGGGATGTCTCTCTATACACACCTTGAGAGGAGGATAATGAGGTAAAAGATGAAACACAGCAGCGATGAAGAACGAAGAAAGAAGATGATTATTATATGAAGCTAACTGAGAAAAAAAGTGGAGAAGGGTGTGAGAAAAGATTAAAAAGAAGTTTCACGACAAAATGGTATCTGCAAATGAAACAGACCTCAGAACATATCCCAATGTAATTCTAATGATATATATGCCCGTATATGTAGTATATCCATCTGAAGGGTTCCACCGAAATTTGATGAATTCATTAAACCCTGCCTTATTAACTTCTTTTGCTTATTTTACTAGAAAGAGTTCGATGGTTTTCTTCTGCTAAGTGAATAATATCACTCCGAAGCCATTAGTAATATATTTTTTATATGAAAGGAAAATCGTTAGACTCTAAGCTGGAATGAATTCGGATTTCGCATCAATGAAGAGATGTAGTTTCTATCATAAATAAAACTAGTTTTATCTACATAACTATCAGCGGATTTCTTTGTGGAACTGATTTTTCCTAAATATAAATTATGGTAGGAATGTATTTTACTAATAATGCATTTGAAATACTAGACTCCTAGTTTTACGCTGATAAATATGTTAACAAGATGAATAAATAGGAAACGATCTACGCCTGAATTAATGGGTCAAATTAGGTATGATTCAAAATTGTTTCAATTCCTTTTATTTACAGCGATAAAACAAAGGAATACATTAATATGTATGTGTAAAACTTGGGCACTGTGGTAGTAAGTAATTCCATATTAGTTTGTTTATTAGATATATTGAGAAGAATAAGAAGTTCAGCAAAGATATCTTTTCGGCGATTTCATTTTCAAAAGCTGTACAATCGCATTTAAATACATAATTTTACATGGAGACAATTCTTGTTTGATTCTACATAATTATGACAGCGAATAAAAGGTGATAATTATTTCCAACTAGATATGGTTATACGAGAGGCTTAGAAACAAAAATTACGCAGGATTAGATAGGATTAGATATATCACACAGTGAAACAGTATTATTTACTGGATGACGTTTCGAACAAAATTTATTGTTCATAATCATATCAGTTGTAATCACACGACTTTGACACTTGAGTTTTATAGTTTTCTTTGTTCTCTCCTATTTGTCGTATGGGTAGTAGAATTTTCCAGATATCGGGGATAGGTGATGAATCATTCCTATTACATGTATTTGTAGTTGATTCGATAAACAAAGCTTCTGTTATCAATCTCTCCCTATACCCTGTGACATTAGATTTTAAAACTGTCATCCTATCCCATCCTATTGTATTGTTGTGTGTAACTGCATGTAGTGCTATAGCTGAACTATTCTTGAGATTTCTTATCTTATTTGGATCAACCAATCTAGATTTTGCTAAGTTTTCATGTTCAGGTAGTCTGACTGCCCCTGTTCGACTAGTTTGACCTATGTATTAATTTAATGCCCAAAACTAATAACCCTAGTAGGATGTATGGTGTTGTTAAAGTTCATAAGCCAGGATACCCTATTAGGCCTATAGAGTTGATTTTAGAAATTCACCTACTTATGAATTATCTAAATATTTAGCCATGGTATTAAATCCCCTTAAAAGACACTCAAAATCTAGACTAACAAATTCTTATGAACTAAAACATAGATTAGATAATTTAAAATTAGATGATGAAGAGAAAATGGTTAGTTTTGACATTGTAAGTTTATATACATGTATACCAATAAATATGGCTATAGAGGCAGTCAGAAATAAACTCATTTCTGACCACGAACTCGAACTTAGGACGAAAGTGACAGTTGAGGACATAATGCTGGGAGTACAGCTATGCCTGACTTCCACAGTATTTAAATTCCAGGGTAAAATATACAAACAAACTGAAGGAGTTGCCATGGGATCACCAATATCCCCAGTTGTAGCAGATATATTCATGGATAAGTGGGAAAGAATAGCAATTGAAACGTTCACCCCCACCCCAAAAGTGTGGTGGAGGTATGTAGATGACACATTCACTGTACTTAAAACATAAGATATAGATAGGTTTTTCGAACACATCAACTCGAAGGTTGAAGCAATTCAATTTACTTATGAATTGGAAAATCAGGAAGGGGAGCTCCCAATGTTAGATTGCAACGTAAAGAGGAAAGAAGATGGGAAGTTAAACACTAGTGTTTACAGGAAACCCACACACTCAAACAGATATTTAGACTTCCGATCATCCCATCCTATGTCTGTGAAAATAGGATTGGTGAAATGTTTAAATGACAGAGCACAAAAACTAAGTAGTACCAAAGAAAATCTAAAACAGGAACTGATACACATAAAAAAAAGAAGCTTTGAAACTTAATAATTACCCGGATAAATTAGTCAAGAAATATGTAAAGAAATGTAAAAATAAAATAAATAATGATAGTAGTGATAGTGATAATAACAATAATAATGATAATAATAATAGTGATGATAATAATAATATTAATGACGACACCAACAATAAGGAATCTAAACCATCAGTAGTAATTCCATATAAGAAAGGAACCTTACGCAGAATTCTTAACAAGGCAGGAATAAAAATGGCATTCAAACCCACAAACTCAATTAGAAACAAGCTTTGTCGGTTAAAGAATCCTGCCAGTGGAGCCTTTAAAACAAAACAATTTAGTTTATCTTATACCCTGCAATGATTGTTAGGTCAAATATATAGGTGAAACTAGTAGAACAGAGGTAGTCAGACTAGCTGAACATAAAAACCTAGCAAAATCTAGATTGGTTGATCCAAATAAGATAAGAAATCTCAAGAATAGTTCAGCTATAGCACTACATGCAGTTACACACAACAATACAATAGGATGGGATAGGATGACAGTTTTAAAATCTAATGTCACAGGGTATAGGGAGAGATTGATAACAGAAGCTTTGTTTATCGAATCAACTACAAATACATGTAATAGGAATGATTCATCACCTATCCCCGATATCTGGAAAATTCTACTACCCATACGACAAATAGGAGAGAACAAAGAAAACTATAAAACTCAAGTGTCAAAGTCGTGTGATTACAACTGATATGATTATGAACAATAAATTTTGTTCGAAACGTCATCCAGTAAAGGAATACATCTATTAATAATGGTTTCTGTAATGTATTTAAAGCCATGCAAAACAATTTATGGAAGCAATAAGACACTTACTTCGGAAATACTATAGGTAATGTAAATTTGGGTCTATTTTTTTATCATCTTACGTACAATTTTTGTGCTTTTAGATGTTTCACCACTGGATAGGAGCTGTTTATTCAACAGATCATTATTAGCCATACAACATTTTATTCCGTCAAAAGGTTAATATAACTCGAATTCTAATATTAGATTCTGACTATTGTAAGCTAATAATATACAGTGCAACATACTAAAAACTTAAGTAAACATGTGCTTTTGTGCCTAATTAAATATAAAATTCTAATCCTTTACTGCGCTTAGAATAAAATTTTCGAGTCTAGTATTCTACGTGCTATTAAACTGAGTGAAAATGATAACATGAATTGATTGGGCCAGCGGAAATTCGCAAAATTAAAAAAACCAAGTACTGTCAAAAGTCTAATCGCTTGTTTTCTTTTCTAAGCTTACCTGACTGAAATCCGCTTGTTAATGCTGCGTTCATATAATGGGTTGTGATGACAATTGACGAACCAGTCAAAATCCGCATTGGTAGACAAGTGACCAAATAAGGTCGAGGGAATTTTTCATTCAACATGAATTTAATTTTGACTGGATTTATTGTCAGCATCTCTGTTGTAAGTTCTAGTGCAGTTAACTGAAGAAATTAAAACAAAATCGCCTAAAATTCATGTCACTGTAACTGGAAATAGCCATTTTCATAAGAATTTTATTGATCGAATATGTCCCCAAAAATAATAACACATGTAAGGTATTAGCATTGGACAAACATTTCAGAGTAACAAGTGACCATGACCATAAGTAAATCGGTTTAGGATATCACACTACCAAACAACATAGACAAAGAAATTGAAGGAAATACAATGATATTAAAACAAACAAGAATAAAGAATTATCAAGTATTGGTTTTGTAGGGATTTTCGTTTAATTGCGTGGAGGATTTCATCATGAGCTGACATCAGTTAGAGAACCACTGGAAAACCTGGGAGTACTGGACAGCTGTTTCGTCCTAGTTGTGGGACTCTTCATCAGTACGCACCCACCGGGATTCGAACCCAGGACCTTCTGGTTACAAGGCGAGCACTCATAAGTGTAAAGCAACAATGAAATCCAAGAAAACATCTTATGCTAACACACCACCGTCAAAGACTCATACATCTCACCGCAAATATACATTTTACAGAAACGTAATTTTCTAATAGCATTTTATTTGACTGACGTCTACTTTACTGAGAAGAAATGATAACCAAAGTATTATATGCACATTTTACATGCTTCAGAATCAGATCTCTAAGATTTGAAGGTGCACTCATTTTTCAATAAACAAATAGTTATTCTTAAATGGTCAGTGAGTTTACACAATCACAAATCTAAAATATCTACGTGATATTTATTCCCTGTATGAATTAATGTCACTGAAAAAATTCCAGTTTTACGAACTTATATATGTGAGGAGTCCATGAAACCAGTTAGTAAAAGCCTCATAAGGAAATGGAGTGTTAACCAACATATGCTGAACCGGAAAGAAGTCAACGTAACTTTTAATTATACTTCTAAATTAAAATTCTCGAAAACTTGAGAAGTTGCATCAGCAGTCTAAAGTCATGTGTTTATAAAACTGAACTTATGTGGAACAGTTGTTTATCATCTGTCCTTAAATACAGTGGATGATCTAAGATTCTTTGGCTTTAAAAACTCAAATAATGAGATCTAAATCCCTTTATAAATATCTAATAAAATAAAATGTTCTCCACCTGTCTACATGGAAATGATCAGTTATGCCATGTGTTAAAGATGTTTCTTACATGTGAAGTGAAGGTAAAGGTATCATCCGGATTTATATATTAAATAAAAATACTGTGTGTGTGTGACTAAATTGTGTACTTAAAGTTAGCACTTTAAATTCCTAAAATTGACCTCATTCGGGTTAAAAATGGTGATCAATAAAAGGATGATTACATTCCTAAACTTACTTCAACTTGATCTTCATATGCTGATCTGTTTCCAAAGTTGTGATAAAAAATGTCATTGGCAGCGAGATCCAAGTCGGAGAATAAACGAATGGTCCGATTAAGCCTAAATTGATGGCATTTATATAAGGGACATTGTAAAAAATGTAAACCAAATGTACCATTCTTTTTTAAGGATCATGTTTTTAGTTAGGACAAACAAACAACTATGAAAAGAGTCGTGGACATCACAGAAATAAATTTAGATTACACGAAATTACTGAACCAATGAAGTGAAAGAGACTGTGACCTGATATGTCTTTTACTCGTAGTAAATTTAGTAGTAGAATAAAACATTTTCAAGATAAGGTAATAGGAAAACTGTCACTCCAGAAACAGTGGAAAATGTTGTATTCATTACAAACGTCCCTCTAATTAGTTGCTTCAAAGGAAACTGTTGTTCAGCTGATACCTTTCACTTACCTGTCTAGACGACATACTTTCAACTACAGCCACCAAGGATGACGATGTCAAAGCCAGGAATGAGAAAGCGATATGGAGATCTATTGAAGTTAGCATATGGAATAACATTTAAACCTGCTACATTAGTGTGAAGTCATTGCTTCTGTACCACCCAGAACTCATACGTTTCCGACAGGTGGTATAGTCTATATGGTTGGCGAGTATTCCTAGTTGATATGACTCGTATTCATCGTATTCATCTAAATAACATTTCTATGAGTTTCATAGTTTCATAGTTACCTAGCGTATTTCTGCAATAAGGAAAACTAAAACAAGCAATGTAAATGTTACACTGCATGCTAGATTACTCACTTATTTGATATTATGGAACCATACTTAGGTCCTGACCGTATGGTGAACAGAATTTTTGCACATTTTGCACTATCCTTGTTATAATAAATATTTTTATTCTTGCTGTGGTGGCTTTGAATATATGAAAAGTCCATTTTCAAAGTGTTTTCAGGTTGGCGAGTCATTTCATTCTCAGTACTTAGTTGCATCTGTGGACGGACAAGGATTTTCTTCTGTCTGAATGGTTCATCATGTCTAACTGGATTTTCGTTGTTTATGATGGGCGTCAGTTTTGAATCGGTCAACGATCTAAATGTCTTTGGTTCCATTGCTAAATTAAAGTGCTGAATTTGGAAAGAAAATAAAAATGATATACTATATCAGCTAAAAGTGTATACGAAGAGAAAATCAACTCTGGACATCACTTACTTGACATCGGCTCCCTACAAATTTCTCAGAAGAATAATCAAACTAAATGTCAATCGCTTGGTGATTCCGAAGAACTAAACTCAAAGACAGGAAAACTAATGAAAACTCTTCAAAAGTTGCACCTGAAACGGATAGCATTGACAACCATTTGTGAATCAATGAAACTAACGGGGAATAACATTCCACTACCTTACAGTCTATTCATTGCACAGGAAGAGGGGCTTTCTCTTCATTCAGTTTTAGATGTGTATAATTCACCACATAATGGCACGGCAAAGTAGTCAACTCAAATTTTACGGCCTTTGCACACCGAAAATTATGGGATACAGAATTAAGGACGTCTTTGACTTTATTTCTACAATATCTGAGACGAATGTCTGTAATAAGCTTATGCTGTCAGTGGACTTATCCTCTCTATTCACAAATGTACCAACTTTTGAGACTTTGGATTACATATACCAAGAAATCACTGAAAGGTGAATGTACACCGGAATTCCTCTGTCTAGCCTCAAAGAGTTACTCTTTAAGCGTGCTATGAATGTGCATTTTGTAAAATATTATTTGTAAAGTCTCAGCGAGATTGAAATGAGTAATTCTTGACGACAGTTCATTTGAATGTGCATTTTGTTTTCGGCAATACATATTACAAACAAACAAATGGAACCGCTATTAGCTAATCATTAGGCCCAATTCTAACAGACCTCCTTGCAAAAGCTGAAAATGGACTATTGAGACATGTTAGTACTGAGTTATATATATATATATATATATATTTGTCGCCATATTCATAATGCATTTATCTTAATGAGAATGTACACATAGATTAATTATTTGCAGAATTTAATAACTGCCAGTCTTCTCTCACTTTCACCTGTGAAGAGGAATGGGAAAACACACTACATTTTCTGGATATCTTGTTAATTAAGAAAGAAGATGGGCCATTTGGAAGAAGCGTGTATAAAAAAAACATGTTCACAGAGCAATAGACGCACTTCCTTAGTTTTATGCCCAGTAAATGTAAAATAACTATTGCGATTTGTCTTGAAAAGAGAGGAAGAAAGATGTGGACCGAAGACCACTTACAAAAGAGGCTTGAATATATTCATGATTCCTTGATGGAAATGGGTTATCCAAATAGTTCTATAAAGCAACACATGAAAAAATCAGACATAAAAGCTGTCTTACTGAAAATCTATCATGGGTTTGGTCAAGGACAGTTAGAAACCATCCAAAGCTGCATAATGTAGGAGTAGAATTTAGGCGGTGGTCGAATAGAATTCCGTATGAGATAAGTTTATTTGGTACAAAACACTTAATTTTTCGTGCTTGGGAAAACCTACCATTGGAGCTTAATAAAGATGTAGTTAAAATCATCAACAGACTGAAATTAGGTCACCTTGTCCAAGCAGACCGTAAAGCATTAAATAATCTTACTCTGTCATCTATCGAGACCAAATGAATTATCGAAAGTCTCGAGGCACCGAATACTCTGAACAGTAGATGCTATTGCAAAACAGCCAGTGTTCTGTGTGCAAAGAAACAGGTCCAGTCACTACTGCTACCCTGGCCTTAAAATTCATAAATACTGTATTGCGTCAGCCTTTTAGGTATTTATAAATTCCCCTAACCCTGCACTTGTATAAACAAAGTTTTTGTTCCATTATTTAAATTCAGTCACTTACTTTCACACTGGCACACACTACGAACATAATTTTCTACCCCTATTTCTCTCTCCGTCCTTGAAATTATCGTTCATTCATATAAAGTTTAAAATCAATATGAACGGGCTTTATTATGAACATGACTCCTGAGAATTCACTACTATATATGCTTTAAATTGTTTTTAGCAAAACAATTCCAACAGTTGGTGTGATTACGGGCACTGATTTTGCTCAAAATATTACCAAAAACAAAAAAACTTATTATTGTGTATAAACAATTGAGATATAATTATAATTTGTTTGATCTATTCCGCAATGCTCAAACTTTTACTGTCCTTTGCTGCTCATAATCATTTACTTTGGAATATTGGGATTCAATTTAGTGTTACTATTATACATACATATGTTTTGGACTAGACTCTATTAGCAGTTTATTTGCAAATGACTTGTTGGAATTCTGATTTCAGTGATTCGATTTTACCTTTTAAAAAAAGCATTAGTATTGTCAGTAACGATAATTCTTTCGTTACTATGGATGTTTAACTGTATAACTTGATGAAGTTATTGAAGAGTATATTCTTTGCTCAGTAATCGATCTTTTCAGATTTCTAATGGGTATCTATAACCTATTAAAACATAACTTTCCTAATTTAACCAATCGAATCCCTAAACCAACAAAGTTTATCTCTGAGTGTACTGATTTGTTTAAATGCCACCCTAATTCCAGCCCTACTACCAATTACTAGTACAGCCTCAGATGTTTTTCCTTTATGCAGCTTTATTAAGCCAAGGAAGTAATCGTAAAGTTTAAGTTACATCTGCTTTTGGTTAAAATCACATGGATGGTTTAGGTTTGACCATTCAAACTCTAAACTTACAAAACCTTTTTTAGTTGATTACCGATTTTGGATTGGAGTGTTTACATACTCTATCTGGATAAAACAAACATTAGTCAATAAAGACGACATTTTCGACCAGGAAATATCTTACTCATGTCACTCCACAGCTGTAGTCAACACTACGATGTTTTTTCTGAACTTTAAATTATTCCGCTGTTTTGTCGAGTTAACTGTTTCTGGTGAAATATTGTTTTGACGAAATAGTATTCGAGTAAATATTGGTGTAAAAGATAGGTAAGTAATGCCTGCAACTTTAAGTATCATGTCAGGACAGCATTTATAATTGATAAAGCAACCTAAGAGAAATCTAAAAAATTCAACGGTTTCCCTGAAAAATTTCCAAGTTGATTTAAAACTTAACATCAAGACCGCGTATAATTAGATGTGAAAGAAAATGTTTTAAGTCACCTGCAAATTCAAACCCTTTTGCACTATTGAAATCGAAATTACTTGCTGCAAGCGTGTTTGAGATTCCTCCTTTGGTTGTTCTGCTTTTTCATTATTCACCATATATTCAATTTCATTACTATTTACTGAGACTTTTATATAATCTCTCGCTAATAAACTTTTTCTGTATTCAGCTTTCATTGAATCTAGTTTATTTGTGAGTGGTTCATATAGAATCCGTTCAGCTATTAGATCAGCTAACGTGAAATATTTGATTGGTGATATATTAAAGCTTGTGGTGAACAAGTGGAGCACACCATAGCGAGGCATCTGAAATTGATAGAATACGAAGAAGAAAACGGTACAGAAGTTGGTTATCGAAATATGAAATTTAATTATCAGGAGATTATTATTTAAATAAGACCGATAAATTGAAGAAAATAAAGGGCTGATAAATGAGATCATTTTGAAATGGTCCACTGAATAAAACGTTTTTACAAGCTTTCACCAGTCATAAAACGTCGTTAGATTCATGATAAAGCTTTCATTTATGTGAATTCTCAGTGATGATATAACTTTACACTATTGGACAGAAATATTAGTTCTTCTAACTGTGGACATTTTGAATTTTATCAATACAGGTGTCTAGTTTTCCCTGGTTTGTCATAGTTTTTTAACTAAAGTTTGTGGCAGAATTGACCTTGGAATCAGTCATATCTAAATAACTAAAAACTTGAAAATTAGTCATTTTGAATAAGTGACCTATAAACCTTTTCCCAAAATGTCAGTCTGTATTAAACCACTCGCTCATATCTTAACTTGTTGTTTTACTTCACGAAAGTACAAGATCTGACTGAAATCAGGTTACAGAGATTACTAACATGTTCTCCAGTACAATAACATAGCTGGGATCAAATTAACTAAAATCCTAAGGAACCCTGAAGTCTACTCGACTATGCAATACATACTGCAAACTGCTTTGACATATTCAAGTATTGGTTAGTAGGGATTTGACTGATTGGTTACAGGATTACATCATGAGCTGACATCAGTAAGAGAACCACTGGGAAACCTGGTAGTACTGGACGGCTGTTTCGTCCTAGTTTGGGACTCTTAAGCAGGACAAACCCATCGGGGTTCAAACCCAGAACCTTCTGAATACAAGGCGAGCTAGTAGACCACTAAGCCACTGGGACCCGATCCAATGGCCCATGAATTCTAACTTCTGCCAATTCACGACATAGCGCGACCGCTAGTCAGTGTCTTCAGCAAGTATTTGTCCTCACACCCGACCTGCTGCTTTGATAAATTTCAAAATCATATAAGATGAATAACATATATGTCTCCCTCAATTTATGCTCCCTTCCTATAGAAATTTACTCCCCTTATTTCTTTTCCACACTCAATAATTATCTGGTAAAAGCACATAAAGTCAAGTATTACGTCAGTTTAAAAAACCATATTGATTTCATTTATGTTTACAAAGTTTGCTTTTTCCCACTAAGGTAATTTGTCAGCAGAGATAAGTGCTTTTGGAATAATACGTGTTGTGACAAAATACTGAGAATGTATGTAGATAAGTGGAGGTAGCTAAGTTCAACTTATTCTGTAAACGGACAAAGCTCAAAATATGTAGGATTCTGATGGGCGTCAGACTCAATGGCTATAAGCCTCTACATCATTAAATGGAAGAAAAAATTCGTAATAATATATAATACATTATCTACTATCACGAAATATTTTTAAACAAGATAGCTAACAAGAAAAAGCAATTCAGTTCAAGATTTTCTTGAAACGAAGTTGTCTACCAACTCTGACAAAATACTTGATTTTCAATTTTATTCCTTGGTTTGGAAAATTTCCATTTTTGGTGTCTTTTGGACTCTTTCAGTGTCACTTCATATTCCTACTACATTTTGTCCATTTTCATTCTTATCCTATCATTTCTGATAAAGCAGTCAAGATTAACCAACCTTAGACTTATTTAGTAGAAGATTATGATTCCAAAAAATGAATTGGCTACTTCACTTAATACTGAGCTAAATTTTATTTTCAATACACGTGAGTACTTTCCAGAAGGAATGTGAAATCTGCATGAACATTCATGCAGTCTCCGTGCGGAGTAATAAAGTTAACTAATTACAATCATATTACAAAAATTAGGTTAGTATCTCCATCGATATGACAGAACTGATTTCATCAAACTGAAATTAAGATTTATAATAACTTGAAATAACTGATGTTTAATTTGATAATCATAATTAAAATAAGTCCAGTGGTGAGCTAAATACCTACCTGATTTACAATAATAAGCAACTGAGAAGGGTCTTGGAAATTATCTCCTTTTGTGTAATTTTTGAGTTTAATCACAGTGGCTTGTCCTTTTTCAACGATAATATCATCAACACTCAGTATAACATCACCGTCATTATGAGTTTTGTTCCACTGATCCATCTGATTTAATGAAATCGACAGTTTCACCTCCTGCTGTAGCATACGGCCAGCATATAATGTTCTAACAAATAAATTAATCTCATCGAACCTTGTAACAATCCAATCGTCTACTTTTTCATGAACAGCGTTAGCTGAATGTAGCAAATGGCAGTAGACAATGTATGTACCGTTTCTAGATGAGTCGTTGTAATTTCCAAGTTTAGCTCGCTTCGCCTTGTATTCATAATATAATGGATACTGCAATAAATCCTTGTATGTCCAGTTTGATGCCTGACTTTTTAAACCAAATAACATCAAATTTCCAAAGCATCCAAAACGAATTACGCTGACATAAATATTGTCTGGATTGAGGTTAACATTCGAAACAACCTTTAAAAAAAAGCATTTAGGAACATTTATCAAAGTGCTATTTTTAGCTTGTAATGATTACACAGCACTTTTTAAATAAAAGCTGATCATTGGGAAAACACATGTAAATTCGTACTAAACAATTAACTCCTATTTGAAGTATCATACGGGTTTACTATTCATGTACAAAGTGTTTCAATTTATGGAAATTAAATAATCACTGCATGCGAAATAGTGTTATAGAAATATTGTCAAAAATTTCAAGTGAGTATGAACTACCTTTGCATGCATAAAACAATTCAGATATAATTACTGAACAGAAATATCTATCTTTTGAATCTGTTTATCTCAAGTTTCAGTGATGAAAAAGACGGAAGTTTTTTCGTTCTCATGGAGAGTACGCGAAAGCACAAGAATTAGGTTCACACTGTCCTGATAACAGGTACTTTTTAGGATTTATTAGCAGATCTCAGTGCAATACACTGTACACTCAGTGTTATATTACGCAAGACACATGATCAGCAAATGTTGACCAAAACACATAGAACCTAGAACTGTTTCGTCAAAAAAGCGTTATTACTGTCGTGTACATGTAGAACCTAATAACGAATTAATCTAAAACAATCTTCTTTGTTGATTAATCAGTCTTTTAAGTTTCGTATAGACATCTTCGATGAATTAAAAATAATCCCTATCAAAAACGAATCAAAGATTAAATTGTGATATTCAGGTTAACAACTATTTGCTTTTGCTTAATTTAGAATTCAGTAAAATGTACCTTTTGACAAAACTTTGCCAGTATTTACATTTCAATGGATACTATCTAGTTTAAACATGTGGGGTATTTTTTCAGTAGATTATGTCCACTTCTGTTGTTTACTTGTAGTGTAACGTAATCCCTATCTAATGATTAATATCTGATGAGACATCAATAAATTTAAACTCATTGGTTCTATGCTAACCAATATCGAGAGTTAACAGTTCTCATTTCCTCCACTTGTCAATGCAAAATTATTCATTAATTCAAAATTAGTAAAGTCGAATTTATGTCTTAGAAAATATCAATTAATTATGCGTTCTATATTATCTAAAAGTGATGTGATATATTAACACAATGTCCTCTACTTGCTTTGGTGATGATTTTAGTTAACAATAACAAAAAAACAATCTAAATATGCTCTTGTCTTTTTAATGTGGTTGCGTTCTCTGGGCTAGAGGATTTAATTGCAAAATAGACATCGCACATAAACCAATACGATCACTTCATTCAATATTATGCAGACGGAAAAACCTAACAACAACAAAAAGACAAGATCAACACCATCTACCAAATAAATTGCATGAACTGTTTTGAGCACAATATTGGTCAAAGTGAGCGTCCGCTTTGACTGCCATTCTAAAAACATAAACTAGCTGTCAATATATATATATATATTCTTTCATGTGGACTCATATATACAACTATGGACATCAGTATGACTGGAAAAGCGTAGAAATTTTAAACAGTGGAAACGCCAAAACTACCAGAGAATTCCTAGAAACCTGTTACTCAGACAAATATGTGTTCAGCGGACACATTATTAATGAGATCAAATATATGAACTAATAAAGAATGAGTCACATGACAAAAAGTCAAATCTCATGCTAATAAAAACATCAGTGCTAATGCAGTAATATAACCAAGGTCATCAGGAGGGGTGAATTATGACATTCATGGAGTTCACTTCATTGTCTACAACGACAATGAAAGCCTAGCAGTTTAACCATCCAGTACAAGGAATGCAACCACATTAAAATCATTCATTTCTGCTACTAATCTGCTCTATTATTGCTTATTTCCTTCTTAACAACAAAAGTTTTAGATTTATAAGCCACCATTAATAGGAAGATATCCTGTAGCATATTTATTACGCGGAATTTCCTACAGTTAACTGTTTTGTTCTGATGTGATAGGTATTGAACGAATTTTTCTTATTAAAAATTTTTTGGTTCGACGTTCAATCTGCCAAAAACATAATTTCTGGTCAGGTATTTATTTAAATATGTATTAAAGTGAGATTTACTTAGAAATTAATCTATGACAAACACTAGTTTGATATTGTGGTATCATCATGTTACTGAATGAAGAGTTATCTAAAATAAAATTTACCTTGCGTTCTATTCATCACAAGGCCGCAAAGTGAACTTCAATAGACGCACTTTATATAATCGATATGACTTTGGTATAGCCACATTGCCCAAAAAAACAGTTATGCTGGTGCATTAACATCATGATTATTGAAATTCTAGAAATTCCCATCAGTTAATACCTAGTGTTCTGAATATAGTTGAGTCAAGGAAGAAAAATGAGTGTAGCAGGATGATATTAGCTCAATTTTTATCATTTGATGGATTCTTCGAAGTCACTTGCCATCTGAATAGTATATATATATATATATATATATATATATATATATATAGATGTAGATATATATGTCACAAAAGATTTTGACATACTTACACCTACTCACGAATAGTTATTGGTGGAAATATTTGAAACAGATTAAAATAGTAAGTGTTAGAAGGATGAATTGTTTATAAGTTAATTACAAAATATTCCAGAGTAAAAAAATGTAGCTTGGTAGTTACCAAAACAGTTGGAACCAATCCGTGTTAAGGAAGCTGTCCGCAATGTGAAAGGCACTTGAGTTAACAAATTAGAGATTTTGAACATTTTGAATAATTTCATTTTGTGTATCACCTTTATTTACGAAGGTCTCACTGGAAGACAGCATGATAAACATATGTCAATATTCTGACTTTCAGTTGATGACAATAAACGCAAACGGCTTCTTCTAGTGTGTACCAAAGACATCAGTTCCAGCCCAAAAACTTTTTCTATCGTAAAATTTAGAGAATAGCTATAGACAACTTATTAAGAATGATTCTGAATGACATTTCTGTAAGCTATCTGGATCAAAAAAGAGTAGAAGCCTCAATCAGTCAGAGATATGCTGATGTCAAATAGACTGTTAATGCTTTTGTCATTGCAAATATTTCAGCAATCTTAGATATTACGACTCCAAATAACGCAGCTGAAACTATAGTTTCGAAATCAAATGGGAAAATATATTCATGCAGATGAATGTAGTAATGAAATCATAACTCCAGCTTACTATATCACCCTTTGTAATAGCGAAACAAGGATGCGTTGGTGGAATGGGTAGAACATTATTTATTTGAAATGAGACGGATTCAGCGCTTAGTTTAGAAATTAAATTTTACAACGAAGACAGTCTATAAATTTCTCACAGAATTTATTCTACCTTGCTTCTTCTCCAAATCTTTTTTGAGAAGTTATCTAATGAAACTTTCGCAGAAAACAACACGGAGCTGTAACAGAATGTAAGAGCTCAACGGAAACATTATAAGAGTTTGAGAAACCTTTGAAGCTAGCGATTTCTATTACTGCTGATACACATTCTAGGAACAAGAAAATCAAACGGAATTTGGATTATTTGAAGCCTCTGATGGGAGTTTTATTGGCTACTAAATAGAAGAACTTTTGTCTTCGTAATTAACTAGAAAAAAGATTTTTCTCGAGAACAAAACCGTTTCAGAGCATTTTGATGAAGTATTATGTTTTGGAAGTCATGAATACGAGGCAAATAAGTACATTATAATAAACTTTTTCTAGTAGCAACTTTACTTCTTATCTTATTTTCCATGAAAGCTGACTGGAACTGACTTCACCATCAAGAGCATCAATCGGAATTCCCGAATGGTCTCTAGTGCAGACAAAAAGCAATTTATATTAGATGTAGTCAAGTATGTGACTCCATTCTAGGCCCTTACATAGTTTGAAATTTGCTTCCACAGATTTCACAAAAAAATATTTTCAAGTATTTGTTTGCATGGATTAAATTAACTTCAATTTTGATCACAAACTGACTTCAGTTAGAAAACCACTGAAAACCACCAGGGAATACTGGACAGTTATTTCGTTCTTACATGGAACTCTTCATCAGTACTCATCCATGATCACACCACGTATTCAACCCATGATCTTTAGATTACAAGATAAACCATTCAGACATTATGATGGAGCCAAGTAGGTTACTAACTTTAACTTCTTCATAACCATCAGACAATGTCACTGGAGAGTGTTTGTCATCACACCAAACCTGCTGGACTCTTCTGATCACTACTTCGGACTAGAACTCCAGGGAACTTCATCCACCACCCTAGGAATGAAGGCAGATACTTACCGATGACATGGGCTAGCATCCGTACTATATATTGTGAACTGGCAGGGGTGAGAGTTGATAGGCCATTGGGTTCTCCTCCAGAGTCCGAATGGGTGCATAATATTAAGGTCCCAGACAAGGATTTCCCGGTTTTCGATGGTTCTCTAACTGAAGTCAGTTTCTGATCTAGATAGGAAATTTTTATGAAATCAGTTGACTTATTATTGTTCAGAAAGAAGTACAGCTGCAAATCCTGAGGTTTCTTGCATATGCACAATTGTCAAACGGTAATATTATTTTTAAACTCCTAATTTTCATGTCTTCCGTGATCATATTTAACATGGTTAAAGACTCATAATTGTTGATTCACCCACTTAAAATGTATCTTGTGGAATAGCAAGTTTGTAATTTAATCACCGCTTTCAGAATTTTAGTACACTTCATCAGCTTGGTTGTTAATGCTAGTGAAGTATTTTAGATACTTACAATGCCCGGATAAAAACTTATGCATTAAATTTAGTAATAAATTTAAAATATTAGCATATTGGGGTGGTCTATCTGTATCACCAGAAGACATTGATCACAAAAGTTTGTAATACAGTCTACACAAGCTTCTTGAGAAATTCTTCATATGTTATAATGAACACTTTACCATAATTAGGCTTGATAAAGACGAAGTCTTCAGTTATTACATGTTGTCTTTCAATATTTTTTTTCATCACACTAAACACAGCTAGTAAAATCAATACAGAATACATTCCCCGTTTAGATATTTAGAAGACAAAAGGTTTTGAG